AGGCCGACCCCTTCGTCATACCTCCCTCAATTTTACCAAAATATACGCCGGCCTGAGTACAAAACCACATTTAATACCTCGAAAGTCGGAGACCAACTGGCAAAAGCTGGCGTCTACGCGTGAGTCGTTCTATAGCTAATTAAGGTAGCTGGCTTATAATAAGTCTTCGTCGACTTATCTGATATAAACACACGTAGCTTCAAGGCTAAACACGGAAACTACTTCGACTAGGTACTTGGACTACATCGAGTACGTGCCATCTTCCATTTCCCTTCCTTGCCTTCCATTTGAGTGCCTTCTACCTACTGTTTGGTTCGTCAAAATCAATTTATGCTTATGAAATGTAACTCGATTCTCTTCCTTTTACATTCATCGAACTCTTCAATTTTCCCACACTCATTTACACAACGATCCCCGGTTATTGCTCGAGCAAAGTAGAGTTTCAGGCGTCATCGTATTCATGCGACTTTAGTTCGTCTCTTCATAAATAGGTATTAAATATTTCCCTCCTCAATTTTCTCTGATTGCCTTCAAAATGCGGTCTTTTACTGACAAGATGAATTTCACTTTCCCAGATTTCATGTCGTCCCCAGGGAAAAAGAGTGATAGCCAACGGCCCCGTCCATTGCAGCTTTCTAAGTCGCTTTCAAATCAAGAACCACCTTCAAGTCCGGATCGTCTATCCTGTCCTCTCAGAGCGAACACCATACAAAACGGCACTGTTCCATCGATACTGATGTCAGACACAACAAAGTTGGGAGAAAACAGGCGACCCGGGACACAATCAAGTATTTTTGAGAAAACCTCCGAGGATGAAGGAGAGGGCGGGGAAACGACGGAGGCGTCTGGAAAGTTACCCGTGGACTTCGATGAACTTCCTATAGAGCTTGTGAGCTTAGCGGATAGGTTAGTCAATCTTTTAGCATGAAGCAACCAGCACGCTTGATTAACATCTGCTGTAGTTTTATTGATTCTCTATCTGCAAAGATTCATCCCACCCCTCCTTCAGTCGACAAATTATCCGGGCTTTTCCAAGACTTCTATGCCGTTGCTGCTAATCACATCAACACTCACATCTCTGCCTTGTCCTCCCGACAACATCGCGCAAGCTCTCCAGCGCCATCAGCCTCATCATTATCGGCAACGGCGAGCAAGATCAGAGCAAAAGCTACTTCCATGAATAAGGAACGTCCCAAAGTAATAGAAAGAAAATCATCTGAACAGCAGATGTTAACTAGCGAAGAAATCAACGAGCGGAAACGTGCTAGGAAAGCGCTTGAACATAAGCGTGTTGCATTAGAAGAAGCAATGGAGAGGAGAGTCTGTGAAGGCATATATGATAGGATATGGCGACACAGAAGTTCACAAGATGAAGCTCAGGACGAGAAACTCCGTTCAAAGACTGCCGCTTTGTCAGTGGTTGGGATAGGGTTAGTAGATTTAGGAGTTGATTTGGGCATTGAATCAAGTGAAAAGCCAGATGCAGCTGAAAAGCGAGAACTAGAGGTTCGAGAGTGGCTAGAAGGTGCCAGAGCAGAGTTGATTGCGATGAACGACGAAAGATATCCTCTCGGGAAACTTAACCACTTAAAAGCAGCCCACAAAGGCATTGTTGATACCTTATCACACTTTCATCCATCTTCATCGGCGGATGAGATCATGCCTATGCTCATCTTTACCCTTATAACATCTCGACCAGAAGGGATGAATGTCATAAGCAACCTTTACTTCATACAGCGATTTAGATGCGAAACGAAGATTGATGGGGAAGCTGCTTATTGCTTAACAAACCTAGAAGCTGCGATTTCTTTTCTTGAAACTGTAGATCTTGCAAGTTTGAGGGCAGACGAAATTCCATCGGGGCCAATCAAAATCAGTAGTCGACCTAGCACACCGAGAACAGATAAACCTGACTCTTTGACAGTTGGTATCACACCTACAGGTCTCTCGACTCCAGCAACTGTTTCGGCAACCCCAAGTCCTTCTGTGTCTAAACCTACGAACTCATCCGTGTCCACACTTCGGCCTACGACTCAAACCGCGGACAGAAGGCTCAGTGATTTGTTCCAGCCACCTGCGGCTTTTGGGGCAGCTGGAGACGCAATATTTGATACCGCTGATCAGGGGTTCAAGAGCATTGGGAACAGTTTGGAAGGTAGCTATAAATTCTTGCTTGGAAAGCTAAAAGAGCGCGACTCCAAAGGCCAAGCTTCAGAAATCGCTATACCAAAAACGCTGGATGATGCCCGAAAGCTTATCAGCACACCTCCACCAGAGGATGACGGGTCTGTAAGTGGTGGAAGTACTCCGCAAAGCCCGACTGTCAAGGAACATAAGGACGAGTCTAGTGCGGAGGCGAAGCCCGAAGGGCGTAGCCGAAGTGATTCGGCTCAAAGAATTGATGATAGAGTTCTCAGCTTCATTGGTGGTCGCAAAATGACCAGAGAAAGAAGCGCGGATAGTAATCGAAGTGGCGGTAGCTCTAGCAGAAAGGTTGCATTTGCTCAGGAGGAAAATGGAGAGAAAGGGACACCCTCTCCACAGACTTCTGCTGGTAATCCGGCCATCGTTGAATCAATGCGAAATCTTGGCAACTCACTCAACCCGATGAACAGGATTGCTGGGATGGGTATGATGCGTAGTTTTGGACGTGTAACAACCCCAACAACGCCTACCCCGACTAGATCAACGGTACCGGATGGAGGGACTGCTGAGTTGACTACCGTATGTATCATTGGCCCTGTATAATTAATACTTACTGACTTTGATAGACATTCCCTGATTTAGCAACGTCTCTATCACCCAAAGAGACACCTAAAATCGCGCCACCGAACAAACGATTCATGGAAGTTCAAAATCCAGGGGATCTCAAAATCAGTGAGGTGATGGAGTTATTGAGAGATTATAGAAGATTAGCAGGAGCTTTGAAGGATCTTGGAGCTGTTTAGGTGGTATCACCATAATTTTCTTTGATTATTTTGTCGTCTACATATCCTCGGATACCACGTTCCTTGAATCTTTTCTTTGTTTTTTTTTTGTTTTTTATTCTATGGGCTGTTATCAGGACACTGGGAGTATGTTGGAATGGTATTCATCGGGGCATGGATATGGGAGACATAGAATTGGATGGGTGTATGGTATGGGATTTGAATTGGGAGCCTCTGACGAGTGGGGAATGTCTGAATTTATAAGTCGACGTGAAAGCGAACTTAATCCGGCCTGAAGAAACACATCGATATACGTGGGTTTCAATTTAAACTTCAATGGATCGAGAGAAGATGGGCTATATCGGTACATTTTGCAGAGGAAGTAGTAAGATTTAGATACACGGTATGGGGTTTAAGGACTTGAAGAGGTTGAATTTGTTTGAAATGATGGATGTAATAGACAACAGAAGCTCGGAAGACATCAGTGAAGGTGAGTACTCGAGTACACTCTATGTGATAAAGTAGAAATTGTGAGATTGAAAATGAGAAGAATTTCAAGACTACCCGTTTGTAATTGTTGTGGTGTGTCATTGTGATTTGAGCATTATGACCGGACAGTGAGATGGAGTTAATTGGAAGTAGGGATGCGTATGTCTGGTGCTTGTAGGAATGATTTGTGTTGTGAGGGGATTTATTTACGCTTCTTAGGATGGAAAGGGGGTTGGCTGGCTAGCTAGCGAGAATCGAGATGAGGTTTTATGTTTGAAAATTTGGGGGCTGAGATTTAGATGTTTGATTTGATTTGATTTCGATCTCGATTTTCCTACTTTCCCAACGCTTCATACGGGAAAATGCAAATATGGAATAAAAAGAAATCCAGGATCCTCCTCTCGACATCCCATAACTCCGATTCGTCAAATCTACAGTGAAAATTATTGTTGCACATCTGTAAATACCCCGGGTACCCGGGACATCCTGCCATCCTACTCATATAGGTACTTGTTCTAGAAAATGCACATCAGACGAGACTTTGAAAATCTTTCATGCATAACCCTCTATATTTTGAGATCATCTAGACAATGAAGAGATGAGCTCACAGTGCCGCAAACTAAATTCTCGTATACTGGACTGGAGGAGAGTTCAGCTCACCAATTTGTGTTCTACATCCTGGAGTAGTTATCCGAAATCTTTAATACACTACTGCATTGTGACTGCATGATCCTTTCCATCTCACTTAGAAATGGGAGTCAGATATACAGGGTATTAATACCAGATCGAGACCCCCAAAAGGCTTTTCGGAACTTATTTCAGATATGCAACAAAGGGGTTTTGACTGGATATTGGGAACCCTCTAGTGAAACATGATGTGATGATATGATATTTATTCGCATTGGGAATAGACATGGAAATGAACTAGATTTCGAGAGCACATCCCCTCGTCAATCCTGGCACTCCGTTGAAGCTTTGACGAATCCGCAAATGAGTCGTTTAAAGGATGATGAGCGTGATTCTTAGCAAGCTAAATCTGAAAACTGCATCTATTTTACACTCTATAATTCCTCCATTGTATGTCTTGATGCGATATCACTGCCAGCCTTCCGTTGTATGGATTGGAGCGAAAAATTTGCGCCTAACTCCGAACATCATATTCATCATTCTTGGCTCTGATCGTAGCTCATCCTGTCATCTATTCGGAATGAAAGATGTTTCTCTTAAATGAAGATGATACTGTCAGATGAGCACTTGCTGTAAACACAATCATCTTACAATAGCACAATTTTGCTGTCGGAGAAGCATCCGGACCGCAACTGCCGTTCGGTAATTCAGGCAAATATGAAGTTATGAACCAAGTCACAGATCGACCACACATTTCCCCGGATTTGTTTGATGTACTCCAGACTTGGCAGTCTTGACTTAATTAATATTGGACTTAATAACGATTTTATAGTATCATGGAATAAAGAGGTAGTTCTTGGCATGTGGTATTAAAACGGCAATTCCCACGTGTGAAATTTCATATATTTTGAAGACATTGCTTTGAATCAAGATTGTGTAGTCGACACAACAATCATCATGAGAAGTTCGAACATCACATTCTTCTTGCTAAGTATTGTGGCAACAGTCAGAAGCCATGCAACTTTCCAGGAACTTTGGATAAATGGTGTTGATCAAGTCGGAACCTGTGTTCGCTTGCCCCCTACCAATAGTCCTGTCACCGATCTGACATCAACTGATTTGCGGTATGTATTTTTACCATTCTTTGTAGCGTTTTAAAGATGTTCCTACCGACTGACTATATGAATAGATGCAACGTCGGAGGTACAGTTGGAGTATCTGGGGTCTGTTCAGTGGCAGGTATGTCAATGCAAATCGCAAAGACCTTGCTTAACCTGACATGCAACAAGCTGGAGGGAATGTAACCGTAGAAATGCATCAACAACCAGGAGATCGAGCATGTGCCAATGAAGCCATCGGAGGCGCTCATTATGGACCGGTCATTCTGTACATGTCCAAGGTCTCAAATGCGGCGAACAATACTGGCTCTGGTTCATGGTTTAAAGTAGACCAAGAGGGATACGATGTGTCTCGTCAGTGGTGGGGTTCGGCATGTTCTCCCCTTTTCCTATCCCAAGTCAAATCTCTCGGCTTCTTCCTAGCTTGGAAAGTACCTAATCGAAGTATGAGGCTAATACACATGTGCAGCAAACCCTAAACGCCAACTGTGGAAAACGATCTTTCATCATTCCATCAACACTAGCACCTGGTGACTACTTGCTGCGCGCAGAAGTCATCGCTTTGCATGTAGCAAGTTCTGTAGGAGGCGCTCAACTCTACTTGTCTTACTTTCAACTCCGTGTAACTAGGTCTGGCACAAAGAACCCCACTGGAGTATTATTCCCAGGGGCATACTCGGCCACTGACCCGGGGATTCTGATCAATATCTACCAAACCATAAACAATTACACCATACCCGGACCAACTACAGTCTTTACTAGCTAGGCAGTAGGTAATGAACATATACACTTTAAGATGGAAAGAGTTGATTGGAGCATGTGGTAGATACCATCATGCAGAACTCGAAAGCAAGAAGCGGAAATGAGAACCATGTGTTAAGTAATGAAGTTTGTGATAAAGATCCTTTTCAAGCTTAACATGCTTTCGGTGATTTCTACATGGCTGTATGACTTGCAAACAATATGATAAGGTTTTCTCAAGCACATAAGCCTCGTTTCTAAGCGGTTAACTCCAGAATGACATTGTCGAAGATATCGATTCACAATACTTACCTAGTCGGTGAATAATAGAAGTACACAACGCGAAAAATGTACTACTCCTAGCGGTGGTGATGAGTGCAGAACAGACGGCGCTTAGATCATGTGCCCACGTAACTACAGGCTTAAGAACATTGCCAAAATACCAATGACGATGTGGTGTAGATCCTTGTAGTGCATATCCAAAGAAATACGGAGTGTGAGGAACAAGTAATTGCCGATCTGGAGGTGAAAGAAAGATTGATGTTGCATTAGATCAAGGTGGTTTATGCGACTGGATGAATTGAGTTCTGGTAGTGGGGTCAGTTATGTGTACTGTGCTGTAAAATCCGAAGCGAACACCCGGGAGTTTGGTTGTAGCGCCGTGGCAAGAAAAAGATTTGCGAGGGGGAAGTATGTGGTTTCACGAACGGCCAGCGGCCATAGGAAAGCAATGCGGTTCGGGTGTGCTGAGTCTTAATGGGGGGCGAAAGACTTGGCTTCAGTGTCACCTCACATTGAGGAAATAAGCGCCATTGGAGCACGAAGTAGACTTGATGGATGAGGTTTCATTGTTCCTCGGATCATTTGAATCGGATGAGTGGAAAGATCTGACGATTTTGATGACTTACGACCTCGGGCACGTAGGTTGATACTTACAACAGTTGCGAGGCTTGTATCCGTTCCATGATGCCAATAATAAAGTAAATCTCAACTCGATACGAATCCTGAATGGTTATGCTGTTGTGATACTGTGACCTATGGGGTCGAAACGAGGGGCGCAATAGATTCATTCTAACGTGCGACAGGTGAGCTGAGCTGGACTGGGCTGATGAGGAATGAAGTTGTAGCGGAGTGAACTTGGGGGCTGACTGGCGGACTTTCCTTTTCCTTTCCCTGTCTCCTTCCCTTCTGCTGATTCATCTTATCTTTATCCACGACACCAACATTTAGACAACACCACTTCAAACCAGCCCGCCCCGGAAATTAATCTCGAGCCAATTAAAATATATAAAGTTTGAAGAACTGGTGGAAGCGAAATAAGCGAATATTGGGCAACAAGAAGATTCATTGGATCAAATTGAATTCACGTAGATCATGTGGATCATACCAAGGTGGGTATAATGAAAATGTCGATATTGAGAGAAAAAGTGGTCTGGAGTTCTTTCCCCCGAGCTGAATTATTGAATATGTGATAACATTTCCAAAATGGTAGGTGGCAATGAGCACATCGAATCGGTTACTCTTCTCAAACACCGTGGGTTGGAAAAGTGGAAGCATATAACATATAGAAAGCCACCCTCAAGTATATCACCAAATGTTGGTGTTTCGACCATCTGATCAAATATCGGTAGGTACAGAGTAGGTAGTAGGTAGGTAGGTAGACACAGTACTTGCTTGCTAAATCAATCCATCAATCCATCATTCTATCAATAAATACATGAATAGCACAGCCATGCTTCAATTTGGTATCTCGAACCCCAAGAGAGGTATTGTCCAATTCAACCGTCTTTTTACCGTTGGCTACTGTATGCCTCTTTCTTGAGAAAAGGGAAACCAAGGAGAAGATCCAAATCACCCAAATCATCCAATGGATTCCATGATCACAACCATCGGTCAACGGCCATCTGCATATTCCGCCACAAATGGAGGAACATCAGGAACATCAGGAATACGGCAAATACTGATTTGATCAGACAAGGAAAGAACTCCCCTGTCAATTTCTTTGGACCCCAGCTTTTTCTCTTCTTCATTCAACCAATCATCAAATGTAACGACTTGATTGAGTGATGAGAAAGGATGGAAATGATGAAAAAAATGTCGAAGCTCTCCAATCAGGAAGATAAGATGAAGATATGCCCATGTCCATACATATGGTCAGTAACCATGTCTGCATGGGTGCCTTGTACCTTACCTTGGCCCTCTATTCAACCGCCAGACTCTTATGTGATCGATGCACCGGGAAGGAAGTGGATGTGATGGATGCTGGTTGCGGAGAACCTTTCTCAATTAGTAGAAGCACAACTGCATTTCTTATCACACACATAATCCACTATCACCTCAATTTTTCCAGTCATACAAGAATGTCAAATTCCCGCAACCCGAACTTATTCATGAAGCCTTTGAGTCGGTTGAGTGTCGTGGGATGAAAACTTCTTTTTTTTAATATCTTCATGACGGTTCAGTAGAGGATCAAACAAACCCCCAATACCTACATCACGGTAATATTTGGATGAGATAGATCTTGCTGGTCAAGATCAAATATCAGACTCTTATTCATTATTATTCCACCTTACGATACGCAAGAAAGAGCCTCGACGAGATAGAAAACGAGAAGGGACTGGTTCGAATGACGAAGGCTTAATAATTTATACACCACCTGCAACAAACTCCCCTTTCCCTTGACCCCTAACATATAATAATAACACATCTGCAACATGCGGTCCTCAATATTGGCTCCGAGCCTCTTCATCCTCACATCCTTCACACAATCTACGAGTGCATTGAAAGCTCTACCGAATTCACCATGTGCATCGAAATGCGGCAATGTGTTGGGAGGAACCTCAGGAGAGGATGATATCGTGTGTCAGAATACGGACTACACAAGCTTAATTGGAACGACATACTCGGGTTGTGTGGGATGCCAATTAACGAGTACTTTTGTTGATCCTTCAACAAATGAGACGGATTTGGAATGGGGTTTATGTTCGTTATTCTTTCCTCGAATTTATGTCTTGAAACATGACTAACATGGCGGGTACGTAGATAATTTGAGATATGCCATGAGTTGGTGCCTCTTCGGCTTCCCAAATAATACAGATGTGGATAACACGCCATGTATAACGTCTCTATCTTGTGGTCCAATGAAGAATGCCATCGAATACGGGAATCTAACGACAGATGCCCAAACTGAATATGGCTATTGTTCAGACATTGCTACGAATCAAATCTCCGAATGTCAGAACTGTCTCGAGATATCCACATCAACATACTATCTGAACAACTTCTACACTCTTCTCTATGGAGCCTGTGATCAACAGCCTGCACCAGGCTCAACATTATCCTTTCAAGGTTCGCCCTTTTCCACAACTCAACTCAATATGACATCTCCCACTCCCACCGCCGTACCCGGTCAAACCTATCCCGGCCTCTCTCTCAATGCACGAATCGGAGTCGCAGTAGGAATAATTGTCTTCGCCCTCTTCATTACCGGTTTCTGTATCGTCTTCAACGGCCGCCGCCGTCGTCGTCGCATTATTCGTCAACATCAACTCGAAACGGGCTATGCAGCTTGGAAAAACGCACATGACGTCGATGGACTAGGCGGTCATATCCCTGTCAATGAAGTAGATAGTGCAGTCTCTAATATGACGTCTGGATCGGGAGGATTCTTCGATAGTCCTAATTCCCAAAAACCTCTACAGCCGAATTATTGGGGTCAACAACAACCTCACGGTGGAAATTTCACTGGACCGGCTGTCATGACGCCGATCGAAGATAGTCCTATCACTCCTATGGCCGAGAAAGTTTATCTGTCTCCTTACTCCTCACCATATAGTAGTCCAGCCACAGCATCTACAGATGCAAATGGGAGGAGTCCGAATGTTGATCAGTGGCCTATGGATCGAAAGAGCGGTTTCGGTCAAGGAGGAGGCAGCATGGCCGAAAAACTGAAGGCTCGAGAGAGGGAAAGAGCAAGGAGGAAGAAAGAAGAGGAAGTGATGAATGAGCGCAATCAAATCGAGTTGCAGAATATGCAACATTTCCAGAACCAAAACGTGGCTCCGGTCTTGGGGCATCCGGGGTATGGAAGGGATCGAGATGGGGCGAGAGGATTAACGAGTGAGGATGCTAGGAGAGGCGATGCGCTTTAATTTTCACTCGGGCCTAGGTACTTGAGAAGGATGTCGTTGTTTGTTTATTTTGAGTGTGGATTTTTTGTATATCATTTTTTGCGTTCGATTATTTGATGATACCATTTTGCGACGGAGAGGGGAAAGGTGGGCTAGACAAATCGTCCAGAAGGGAATGGATGGGACGAATCGATGAGTGAATGAATTGTTAATACTGATTTTTAGGTAAGTCATGTGGAAGGCACAAGACAAGGAAATAAATACCACTCCAGCAAGAAGTAAATTGAGAGGAAAGGAGACCTTTGTGATATCGTCAATGGAGAAAATATATATATATGTATATATACAGGTGTGATGTACATCACCACAATCCATTTAACCTACTTCGTACCATGATTGAAAATGATAACACCCTGCCTGTGAATCTAACCCTCTGTGCTTCTCTCCACTGTTCTGCATCGATCATCTCGAGGATGTACCTTGATAAACAATGGTTCGATTTTATGATTGAGTATTCATACACATGTTGCATGCATCCGTACATCGAATTCTATTTTTGTATTGCTGAAGATATGATTAGATTTGGGGGAGAGGGGAGTTCTAATTTGTATATTGTAACTTGTAAGCGCAGGGAGAAATCAAGGAGGGGGGAGGTTGTTTTAGGTTTAGAGTTTGTATATATGTGTGGATATGTGAGTACCTATGTACTTCTTTAGAGTAAAGTGCAGGGTGAAATTTTGATGGTGTGGTCACTGGTAAGTGTTGTGTGGTATCGAATTATTGATATCGTTATCGATATCAATATTAATATTAATATAAACGATTTAAAGATATAATCAACACCGCAAGAACAATATTCGAAGAGCGATAGTATACTAGACGATATCAAAGGAACCGCTTAAGCTTACCTTTTGGATTCGTCAATCTGAATTTTACTGTACATTTTTGATGAGAGCTTCAATTTACTCGAGGAATTCTCCGCGAAAGTGCTAAAGAGGGAGGAGGAGGGGAAGGAATGCATCCTAGGTTGTACCTGTAGCTGGAGTGTTTGCTGTTGATTTCGATTGGTTTAGGTATGAATGGCAATTGCAATATTGATCTCGGTTTCCGTTGCAGATCATTGGATTGAATATATTGTGTATTGAATAGTGTCTATTCTGATTTTGAGTGATTTGTGGGAGTTTAGGGAGTTAAGTATTAGCTTGGGTTAGATGAGATGAGGTGAAAGGTGTTGCGGGGATTGCGTAAGTAATAGATGCTAAAAATGGAATGAATTCTCAATCGTACTTTTCTGATCATCTGGCTATGTGAGTCAGTGAGTTAATTTGGTATAATTATGTATATAGAGTTGATCTACCAAACAGATCCCAACATGCCCAACACCTATCGCCATCCCAAGCCTAGGTTCAAAGAAACGACATAGATACCAAGCCCGCTGATACTAATCCCGCTCTCCCAGCTACTAGTAGCTAGTCACAAGCCCATACACGCCTAAAGAAATTATATATCAAGAAAATGTAGATAGTAATGACAAGACGAAAGACCGGGTATCATGTAATCATCACATATCCCATGCATTGTCGACTCTTCAGAATTCCCCGGGCCATTGATCTTGATCCTGATCCTGATCGCTAATAACCGACATCCTCTTCGGTGCTCTTTTTTTCTTCCTTTGTCTTTTCTTCTCTCTACTCCTCTCCCTCATATCCCCGATATCTCCTCCTACGAGGGGACTTTTTGTTCTCTCCTCTCCACCACTGTTTAACCTCGTTTCAATATCCTGTGCGCTGGGAGAAAGAGAGGAAGCAGTAATTCCACTATTCTGCGTGCCATCGATAGCGGCTCTCGCGTAACTCATACTCACGTCCCTATCTCTGTCTGCATTCCTTACCATCCTCTTATCTTGAGCCTTTCCCCGATTATGAAAACTTGCATCCTCGTTACTCTCCGTCATTCGCGCCAAGTTCTGTGTCGGTGGTGAAAAGGTTCTTGCAGGATTAGAATCAGGGGTTTGTGTGTTGGTTAAATGAGGATACGAATACGGTGAAGAGGATTCCTCGTGAAGCATTATTGGTACCGTATCTTCTGTTTTCGGATATGGATTTGAACGAGGTATCGAGGGGGAATAGTAGGCATGATGGGCTGGAAGAATAATCGTATCGTGTTTATGCAAACTTTCATCATCGCCTGGGTACTTTGAGAAATTGAATGGCGGTGCGATATTTGCATTATTATGTTTTCTAGTTTGCGGAGGTGCAGCTAGAGTGATGGTTTCGGATCGCGTATATGGGTTTCCGAATGCACCTTCGTTGGGCGCAGTGATATTGAGAGCGCCATATCTCTCATCTAAAGGAGTATGGCGTTCGCGTGCACGTTTTAAGGAAATATAATTCCGCCACAGGGTGAAAATTATGAAAAGGGTAACGAGGAGAAGAATGCCAAGACCGACGGATACCCCAATGATTGTGTGCTTCGATAGACCTTTCTTGGAGGCAGCGTTGCTTGGAACTGTGGTATTGTAGCTTTGTCCAGGGGATGTTTCGGTTATGGTATATTGAGAGAAGACGGAGGCATTGAGACCAATGATAGTTCCATCGGGCGGCTGTTGGTGACATCCTGCTTGGAGAGCTATCAGGACTAGGTTAATTAGCATTTAGTAGTCATAACTTAGGGAACAGAACTCGCAATTTGAGAGATAAGATTCGGTATTGCCAGATTGAAGACAACTTTTACATGCGGAAGTGCCGCCACTCAAAATAGAGTTGTAGTTTGCCGAGCAATAGCCATAAGCTGTTTCATTTTTGGTGATGAAATTTCCATCTTCAATTGCTAGTTGAAATGGGCCACAAGCAGTAGAGGTAGAGCACGGTGTGGCTATTGTATCTGTAGCATTGGCAAATCCGTACAGACATGATGCTAAAGTATAACGAATATTGTCTACCGGGCGTCAATACACAAGTGACTTTCCAAATGTCATGTCAGAACCACACTTACACATAAAGCAGTGTTGATCATTTTGATCATTACCAGCTGCAGTGCTCAACTGCAAGCAAGAGAGACATGATTTCAATTTTTGGCCAGCTGTAGTGGTTATGAAATTTTCATTTTGACAGACGATTTCACTTCCATCAATACTGTCCGAGCCCTGGCCATCACTACATAAAGACATGCATGGTGAATCCGGTGTAACCATCAACGCGAGCGCGATACTGTTGACAAGACTGAGTAGTCCAAACGATATTAGAAACATGGTCGGAGAGATAGTGGTCGTCAATGACGATTATGAAGCTGCCAGGTAAAGTTTCGAACCCATCAGTAGGATAAGTTCCTAATGTCGAGCCTTGCGTTATACCTTCTAGTATTGTAGAGCTTGCGTGTTTGTCGCACAAGCCAGCCAGACTCGGTAACGTAAAGGTGTCAATTTGTCATGAAAGGCTCCGCTGATCAGATACTTTTATGAAAGGAACATATTGTAAAGACTGCAGCACCTCAAAAGAAAGAGATCTTATCAAAATGATCCGAAGAAGTCCTGTGGGTTTGTCGAGCGCGAGAATAGCCGCTCTGTGAGAACATTCGTGATTCTCCACAAAAATTGATGGAGATGCGAGCTTTCTGTGTTACCTCTCATCCATACGACTTGCCATGTATGGGTGAGAAGGTATAAGGTACCGTGCCGTCGGTGCTCAACATATGCTCCTACTCTTCTCTTTGGAGGATGAGGGGCAAACCTTCCTAGGTATGTCTGTGGCGACCCAATAACGTAATTTGTTTATGTCCTGCAGGAGCTTTCTAACAAGGATAAACGGATGAACCATTTACTTTGTACTCCCACACTCCATCACTTGTGTAACAATAAACGGGGGTATTCATCATGTGTCTTGGAGATATCCAAGAACTAAAGCTTATCTATCTATGCTCCGAATAATGCTTGAAGCTTTTACTCGGAACCATTGTTAGACTTATTGCTAATTGGATGAGAAACCTTGAAAAGTGAATAGGCAAAATGGTCGATGATGAATGAAAGATAAGTATAAAAGCAATTGTTGGTGATGAAGGTCCGGATATGCAGGAACCAACTGTTGGTGTTTGGTAATCAAATCACTGCCTTGTCCATAGCCTACCATCATTTATTTACCCATGCTTATGTGGCCAGCCATCCGCCTCGTAGACTCGTACGCAGTACTACCTACGTAGAAGTACAATGAATATCTGTATTGTGTTTGTTGCCGTCAAGATGATGGGTAACAGCAGTCCAAAAGGGTGGCGTGGGGTGGAAGAATTATAATGGACAATAACCAGGTCATGTTTCCTCACTCCGACCCCAAGCTTAAGCTACCCGAGCTCCTTGCATGTGTGGAATTGCGAAAGCTGAGCAAAGATTGAATAATCGACAGGGGATCGGAATGTTTTCAATCGTTTCCAACCAAGCCTTAAGCGCTTCAATATCGGAATCTGGGAAGGGTAAATAGACAGAGTGGCATGCAATGGTAATCTCATGCATAGAGAAGGATTAGCCGTGTATGTTCTTCCTGTTAGGTAATCCTGCCTGGGCATTTCTCCAGTCTCAAGTGTTTGCTAGTCACTTGCACCTTTTTCCCTCGATATCAAAGAACGTTCTTCTTTGCATTGAGGGCGGCCACTTGACGAATTGCTTCATATCCTCAAAGTGTCCCTGATTACGGAGTAGATTCATAAATGCTAGATTAGCGTTTCCCCGCAATGTTTTAACTTTTAAGCACGCTTGTATGTGCGTGCGTACCTAGCTCTAGTATTAATAAGCTCTAATATTCAGCTCAACAGACAGCTCTAGAATATAATAATGTTCATGTTGAAGCACGGGAAGGTCCAGGAAATTCCAATAAAGGAAACTCAATAAGAAATGAAGCAAATCGTCAGTGTAGATTCAACTTCATCACGTGTTGTTTATGCACTAATGCCTAAGGACATGTGACTGTAGCAGCGACAGGGGTGAACATAGCAACACGAAATGACAGAGTAGAGATACCAATCTGGGCAATGAGAGATTCAAAGATCCAAAGATCTAATAAGATTCAAAGCCTCCACAGGTAACGGTTCTACCTCCAATTGGGTACATACATCATGTCACTCATCACCAAAAGCCTCTGGAGGGTTGGACCGCTGCCAAAACCTTTAGCCTCAGTTGTCCACTTTCAACAATCCAGAAATCTATTGTACCACCAGCAGTCACGAGATATTTCTACAATTCCAAGAGGAAAACCTATACATGTTGCTGGTGCACATCGTTTACAGACGTTGATTGCCAATGGTATCGTTCAGTCTGCAAAAAATCCACTCAGGAATCCAGTAACCTTGATGGTACCAAACAACGATTATATTCGGCAGTATGTGGAAACCGACGGCAAGATTCAAATGATCAAAGATGGTATTGCTACTACCATGGTAGGAGCTGTGGATATGGAAGTTCTTCCTTTTTCAATGGAATACTCTGTTCCTGATGAAACATTCGCTCCTGCCAAGAACTTGAGGTACAAACGTTTATTGATGGATACTGCTCCGAATGAAGATGGTCTCTTGGCTGATGCCGTCTCCTCGCTACTTGACAATGCTCTGCAACCTCTTGACCTGAAGAAAAAAGCACACAAAGCGGCGCGATTGCCAATCTCGGACATGAAGGTCTGCGATTTATCTTATTTTCTTGAATTGAACGCAGCATTTTGTGAACAAGGAAAGGCAAAACCTGTGGAAAGGGAAGATATCATAGAGATCCGAGCAGCACCAAAAGATTCGGACCTCAAAGTTGTGCCTGTAACTCACGTGGCTAAAATCAATACTGACCCTATTGATTATTTGATCTACGGCGAACGACCTAGAGATCTAATTAAATTTTTCAAGAACATCAAACACAGACTACATCCTTCTTCTGTGGTGGTGATAGTAGGAAACAACCCTGGTCTGGTTCAGGATCTCTACGACCAAGTGTTTCCAGATATATCAAAACGACCAAATTTCGTTGAATGCATCAATGCCACGCACAGTAAGTATAGGTTCAATGCTTTTACTTTGTATTTATCACCCCCTTCAGTGGCCCGGTTTCATCCTCGAATTTGTGTTTCATCCTATATACCCTTTGCTTCCTCAGAAAGCTTTAACAGTCACTTTCCTCCAAATTTTGTCCTTGGTGCGCAGTACTGACTCCTCGACCTTGCAGTGGGAGAAACTTCAATTACAGGAACTTGGGACTCGGTCCGTTCCGTCCCGATAGTCAAAGGAAAACTCCTTCTAGGGCCACTCGCACGAACTTATGACGATGGTATGACTCCAGGCGAGGTGGAAAAGAGAGAGCAGGAAGTGGAGTGCCTTGTTAACAGGGTAATGGATGCTCCCCTATTTGGCGCAGAACGAATCGATAGACGTGGTTTAGAGAGATATAAACTCAAGAAGCTAGTTGCGCGGGCTGTCATTTACCCTCTCACCGTTGCGTTCAATTGCATGATGGGCGAGATTTTTTCAACTGAGGAGCGGGTTACAGAAGCCAGACTGTTATTCGACGAAGCTTGTGCAGTGATCCAATCTATCGATGAAACATTGACTCGTCGAATTCTCTTGGACAACTTATTATGGGCAGTAGTCAGACAACCGAATATACGTCCTATCATGTTGAAGTGTGTCGAGCTCGGCTTTGACACGAATCTTGATTTAGATAATGGTTGGATCATAAAAAATGCTCCAAATGGTACGACTCCGACGCATACTAAGTACAGCAGAATTGTCAAGGAGAGAGCTAGGGAATCAGCAAAAGCCATTGCAGCCGATAAAGAAGAGGCTGCAAAAGCAGAAGCGCGACTTAAGATGGCAAGAGAGATGATCGCAAGGAGAATGAAAGAGAACGATACCGAGGAAGTAGTCAAAAGAGGCTTCAAAAGATTTGCCTTTGGACAAAAGATCGAAGCTCCATTAAACGTTCCGGATAAAACATATTACAGAACTAGAAGTCCTCTGGAAGCTTCTGGTATGTGGGAAAAGCTAGAAGCTCCTCTTAATGATCAAGTCAAGGGGGGAAATGAGTGATTCGCTTGTTCATGTTAAGGGAAGTGGAGATGCAGTCGTACAGAAAATTAGCGAGTAGAGCGTGGAAGAAGAAAATGAAGGGGCCAATGAAAAAGCACGAGTGTAGAATCTTCAAAATTACCGAGGTGGAAATGACACAATAGATAGATGGACGACACGTTGTGATTTGCACAAGGAACGGGTGTGGGTAACGGAAATGATGATTGAGGGACCCTGAGTATCTTTTCTCGCCTGGAGATCTTGTGTCGATGCGTGGAAATGGCGGCTGAAACCTCTCTTGACAATACTCGAAGAAGATTGAGAAATGTCTCCTAGTGTTGAAAGAGCCATGAACATGGCTATGAATAATGAATCTAGATTTGGTTCGCCAATTTTTTTTGCAGGACATGGTCTATTCACGAGTCAGAGCATTTGACTCTATTTCCGTCGTCCTATCCCTCTTCAAATTAACCACTATGTGCCAATTCCGATGTATCTTCCCCCCGATGCAAATAACAAAACCTCATTTCAGACGAGTAGAACTTTTCCTGATTCTATTTGTACTATATTTCATTTGTCAACAATATACATACCCATTGATAGACAACGAGTAACGAGTAGGTATTATACCTTTGCTTTTGAGCTAGTGATCATTGATTGTGAAATCTGTAGTCATTTTTCAAGTCTGTGTATCGGCTGAACTACTGCTGTCATTCACTACTATTATTCACTATTATTATTCGCTTCGCTTATGTATTCACTTCTCTTCTTCTCTTCTCTCAGTCACTCTTCCCACCATCAGCCCTTCCTCAGAGCCCCAACCCCCAACCCCCCATAACACCAAATACCAACAACCAACAACTTTCTAAACAAATCTAAAAAGACCCACACTCATAACTTTCATTACATCAACCCTATATATGATGAAAGACTACTCTCTTACATTCATCACTCAATTGGAATTACCGAATAAAGTTCAAACACACGCACAGGACAACTCGCTGCAACAGTTCATTCATCCATCCATACATACAAAAAGAGCGTATTCCGACTTATTTATAGAATCTTCCATCTCCCATCTTCCCTCTCTCATCTCCCATCTGTCTATATCCAATCCCACAACTTCCTTTCAGGACAATCTTCCCCGCTAGCTAAGATAAAAAAAATACATACCAAAATTCTGAGCATGATTCCAATATAATAGGTAGCTGGAATTGGCGACAATAGCTATAACAATAACAGTAGTAATGGAGAGTAACAATAATAATATAACAATAATAATAATAATAATAAGAACGACAATAGCAATCAATGCACCCACAGCAACAATACCTTGCGAACAATGATAATTATTGAGACGTGCAACAAAACTTTAATTCAAAAAAAGAAGGGGGGTTTGTAATGACATCATTTGTTACAAAGGGTCTAGTTCTCCCAATATTTGTAACTTTTCGTTTTCTTACTTACATCATATTTTATTCGGTTGTTGGATGTACAATATATATATAGCTATTGATACTGATAAAGGTTGTAGAATAGGTATGACTATTGGCATTCTAGCAACTCCGAGATTCCGAACCATGTCCCTAAGACAGAGCACATAGAGAAGCGTTATGCCCTGTCGAACAAGAACAATTTACATGTCCATATTTTTAGACCTCAATATTTAACGCTGGTGGCTTGAACACTAAAAGTCGTGGTACGAAGTCTATTTCAGCCCTGTGGAGAAAGACATGCAACATAGGATTCCGTTCTGTATCACGGGATCGGGATTTTCGGGATTGATTTGTGATGATGAAGAAAGAAAGATATGGAGAGATATCGGATTAGAAAAAGATGCGAGTCTTACTCGAAGTATCTTCACTGGTTGAGAACGCACTTGCGAGATCTACTTATCTGATGATCCGTTCTGTAAAGTATTGGCACCTCACGAGGTGTTTGTACTGCATGATACAAGCACTACACAATGTACAGTTTACGCATACATATATGGATAACAGCACTGCCGAAATACACGAACAAATCGCTACACTAGCTCCATCAAGGACTTCCTTGGCACATACTCAGCAACAAACATCATGCCTTAGTAGCACCTCAAAGTAATCTCCAAATCAACGTAACATCCACCAAATATAAGCAACACAAGAACGTTCCATCTCAATCGACCTTCATCAAGCTACACATACACAGCCACAGCCACATCGAACGATTCAACTGCAACTTACTCAGCACGACCGAAAAGTCGGAGATGCAAGACGCGAGGGTGTATACCTGCATCCCAAGTTCTTGGTATCATACGCCTGCCTGCCTTTACTCTTTCGTCTGACATAAGCCACCGACCAACCCATAGAGCTGGTTCCGATACTCCACATCTCGACTAATGGCTCGCCAGCCGTCTGGATTGCGTGGGAGCGGGGATGGTTCTTGAACTCGTGGGTGAAGATGACACTAGCTTATTTGGGTATATCCTGATCATCAAATATCTCGACTCTTTTTCGGATAGAGCGGACCAAGCAAGGGAACGTCAATTCCGAAATATGTATGAATTCATTCCCTCCTTTACGAAAAGGATATATGAAGAACAACTTGTCCCAATATAAGTTCCCGACGAAGCCGGATAGTAGTATTGTTCACACGACCAATTCATCTCGATCCTATCGGAACATATCGTGCCGTTGCTTCCCAACAATCTCAGCACATCTAAATTATGAATCTCCCAGCGAAAGAAACGATAAATGTCCGGATACCGTAAGCGGAATCGCACATATCTCCTCGCCGAGGTGAGTTCAGCCTTATGGCATTCCGGCGTGCTGATTGATGCATCTTCATCTTCATCATCGGTAAGATAAGTTGATTATGCAATGGGACGAGGGCGCAGGTAGGTTGGTGTGTCAGGGACGCTTGTCAGCGAGATGCTTTTACGATGGAGAGGGATGGATGTAGTGGCGGTCGAAATCGGTGGGTGGGGAGGAGATTATAGAGAGTGAGCATGTGATTGAAAAATTGGAAACCCCGATTTTCCTTTTTCCGGTATCCGATCGGGAGGAAGATTTCCTTCATTCCCGATGGGGATTCATTTTATGTGTGTGAGACATTCATATGGGAGATTTGGATGTGCGTAGTCCGGTTGTCTGAGTGGGGGATCATTATTTGAATGAATGATCATCACATGATATCTGACGCTCCACGCACTCTGCACATCGTAAGATTCATACTCCATATTGATATTATATTTATTATCCACATCACAAACCGCTAAGCCATGGCGAGTCCAGTGCACTTCTCTCCACAACAGCAGAGAAGCAAATCACTTCCCAGATGTATTGAATATATTCACACCAGCCAACTTCTGATACTTGGACAACGGCAGGCAGGTACTGTAGGTATCAGCAGTGAGCACGCACCGCAAAATGTAGATCACCACCACACCACACCACACCACACAGTATTCAAACAACACACGACCAAAGCTTTTACCCTCCTGTTTTCTTTGCATTCACCCCACAGACACCAGATACCTACATGAAGATATGCCAATTCAATTGAAAATACCCGCTCGCTCCTCCATCACCCACTGCTCAAATCCCCAACCACCATCCACCTTCTTCACCGTGCGGTGTGTATGTGTACGGTATATGTAAGTAAGTGTATGCCCCAAAGCCAATAAAACCATCATTGCAACCCCCAGTCCTCACCGACTACAAGCCACACACCCATCCCATCCATCCATCCATCCATCCATCCCATCCCATCCATCCATCACAACTCTCCAATAAACTTTACCCCACCTACACACCTGTAAACTTCATGCACGCACTTTCCGAGTAATAAGTATGCCAACCAACCAACCCCTCCAACACCATGCCCCTCTCACCGTATCGCGAATATTGAGTTTTGCATATTTGCCCACCCATATGTACGAAGTACACATATATATATATATGTATGTATATATGTATGTATGTACATAACCCACTTCATCTACCCACATGAAAATAAAACGAACATATAGGCGATATACGCACATTGAATATACGGTGTGTTTGAACCTACTGTGTACTAAAAGTTATTCCTCCCGTCTCCCATTCACCGGTACTTGGAAAGAGATATTAGTTGTCTGGACTACCTCCTTCGTACATTACAGTACATTACATACTGTAAGTACGACAATGTAATGCGCATGCATGTGTTGCCAACACATGTACTGTGCAATTTATCTGATTCCATCGATCATGCAGCAAGTACCACACCAGATGTGATTTGTCAAAATCAAGCTTGACCGATTACCATTCTTGCTTGTGTGCGCATGTATGTAGATGTTTGCTCAACGTGTTTTGTGAATTAGTTGTGATGAGTTTTGAGTTCAGTGTACGAAGTATACTTGGTATCGAGTAGCTCGAATTGAATGGGGATACCTGATTTGGTTATCCGGATCATGTGATGATGTTCGAGGCGTTCGAAAGCTGCATTGTACACCTCAATAAAATATGACTAAAGAATTATATTAAAAAATGATAATCTCTACCTACCTAGATACCTCCTGCAGTACTTTCTAGAACCATGATCAAAATGCATCTCCATCTCCATCTCCATCTCCATCTCCCAACCCCTCACATACAGTTCCAGACATGCAAAAGTAAATCCATCAAAACCCATCCCATCGCAAATCGCAAATCGCCCCGCCTCTCAATTCATTCCCATCCATCCATTCATCTACCTACCTATCTATGTACATCTCACCTCAACACATGCCATGATTCCCCCTCTCCCCCATTCAACCAACTACCCCAAACTGAATCCTCTGATCCCCAATCGGATGAAAACCCTCGTACTCGTACCTACCTAAACTCGATAAACAAAAGAAAATCTTGTCACTTTGAGGAATTGATTATCCGCGGGAAGAGCGTATGCGACTCCGGATTCGCAGGTTGGGGTAGATGGAGCACCGTGCCGATCGTATGTATTGTAGAGTACCGGACCGGGTTGGTGAGTCTGGTGGTCTCTTTGTTTGTTTATCTTGCTACGAGTATATTAGATCAGATTATATTGTATTATATTGTATTATATTACCAGTATATCATATTATTCCAGATGATCCGAATACGAGACGAGGGATGCGAATTGCGAATGACGGAGAGGAGGGGAGAGCTGACTAAAGTATCGATAGTATCTTCTTCTATTCTAATATTCTATAGAGATTGATGAGATAAGTCTTATAAGCCTCATTTTTAATATAACTTACTATTTTACGAAATTCCAATACTACTTTAACTAAATTCACTAGATATTCAGTCATCCTTCTTAAATTTTCGAATTTTAAAAGTTTTTATTTCTTTCTTTAATTATTATAGTTTTAAAGCTTTTAAAGCTTTAAAGATTTTTATCGATTTTAAATAAACTTAAAATAAACTTTTCTATAAAAAAAAAGGTATAAATTTCGATAAATTTCAATAACTTTCAATAACTTTACTAAGATTAGAATAGATTTATAATACTTTCGTTATTTAAAGTTTAATGTATAAATGTTTAATTAGTATAACAATATAATTAACTCAATTAATAAAAATGAGGAAAAGCTTAATCGCTTTTTAATATATTTTATAACACCTATGTCGTTGATCTTTATAATCTAATTACATATTGTACGATTCTAAAGATGAGAGACTCGAGTAAGTCTGGTCGGGTCTGGTCTTGTTCTGATCATCTCATAGGTATAATTCAAAGCTAGATTCTAAACTCTAATATCTCGATATCTCCATCACTAATAACTTCCACAATAAGAAGAACAATACAAATACTACTACTACTAAGAGATAACTACTCTCGCCATCCTACCAAACACCAAACACTAAATAAGTCTGCGTCCCCAAATCCCTAAAGTCTAAACCTCACATCTAGAACTCACAATCCCGTTCTAGAGTTTCTTTTTTCTGAAAACCCTCCGGTCAATATTCATTGATTATTAATCATTGTTTACAAATAATAGGAAATCTACTCTGTACCTAGGTAGGTAGATAAATAGCTAATAAAAAACCCATAATGAATGATGATGAATACCGGTACTCGAAAATACCCAATCCCGAAAACGATGATGCCATTGCACACTCTCTCTCGTGCTAAGAAACTTGAAAAGTCGCCTCCCAGCAGAAGGAAGTTGCATTTGCATTTGCATTTGCGCAAAAAGAAAAGGAAAGAAAACTGATCGTTACTAGATAGGTAGGTAGGTAAGTAGACAGGTAGATAATCCATCTATCCATCTAGGCTTTCGATCTCTCCCTAAAGAGGATTCTAGATTCTAGATTTGAGATTTGAGATTTGAGATTTGAGATATTCTTTTAGCATCAATCTATACCTCTATCTCTATCTTGGATCTTAGCAGAGAGAGGGGGAGAGAGAAAGTAACCATAATAAATCCATCGGCTTTGACTGAGAAATACGAGAGTAGAGATCCAGAATCCCGATAGAAATCCATGACCCCTCTCTCCAGAATCGATTTGGAATGGGTTTTGTAAACTCCCCTCTCCTCTCCAAATCGCTATCGATATATACTCGAGTAATGAATGAGGTCACATTTGTCTATCCCATCACATCCCATTACATCCTACCCAAATTTGAATTGGGAAACCCATCCCATCCCATCCCATTATCCTACCCAGCAATTCGATTCACTTCACAATTCACGATAATTAGTATCTAGTAGAGAAATACCTACCTAGGTACCAGTAGGTAGGTAGTTTATATTTGTTTATATACGAGTATGTTCATCCCATTTCCCCATCAAGGCCAAAGTCAAAGTCAAAGTCAAAGTCAAAGTCAAAGTCAAAGTCACGAGCTTCATCTCCATTTCCATCTTGTCCAGCCACAAACGACCATATACATATCACAAATAGCAAAACTTCCTATCCATTCCTCACTCTTTACTTTGAAACAAGATACATACATACATACATACATACATACATACATACATATAGACACTTCATCCATCCTCATCTCCATCTCCATTACGAATCTACACTCATCCACGGACCCCTCAACCTCCGTTTCCGACTCAGGCATACGCAACACAACACAACACAACATCTTTCACTCCGCCCAAATCATCCATCCATTCATCCATCCATTCATTATTCCTCACACCCCTTCCAAAACCCCAACCCAACCCAACCCAACCCAAGCCTACCTCGTACCCCCATCCCTACTATAACAAACCAAATCAAACCAGCCAAACATATATATAAAATTAACCGACCAAAACACTAATCAGTCAGAGGAGAAGAAACTTACCAAAAAAAAAAAAAAAAAAAAAAAAACTTAACTTTACGAGTCCTTCAGTGATGATTCATGCCTGCATATACCACCACCACCCACCACCATACCGAGTTGACAACAAAACAATCGCTGTGACAACAATCCAATCCAATCTTATTCATCTATCTGCGGGAGGACGTAAGGAAGAGGGAAAAAAAGTAAGGCTGTATTTTTTGAGGGGGGTTTTTTGGTTAGGTGATGTGTTGTTTGTTTGTTTGTATGGAGGGAAGAAAGGAAGGAATATGAGTCATTTGTAAGATATTCACTTATTCATTCATTTACACTCTATTCACAAATGATCAAATGCAAGATTCATATTTTAATTTCAAGAGAAGAGAAGAAGAATTCATTTGTAGTATTTTTTTTGGATATTGTGATATTGATTGATTATTGCCATGCTAAACTTTTTGTATGTGTTCCTCCTATGCTAGATAGCTCAACCAAAATGATGAAAAATTGGGAGTCATCTAATCTATCCATCTAGCGATCGTCATCTCTTATCGCAAATCCCGATAACTTAAAAAAAAAAAAATTATCCCATCTCCAACCATCGGATTATGAATGTGAAAATTATCCCTTTAACTCCTAATGTCCCCGCATGAGTGGTGTGAATATCCATTCTGTATCTCCAAAAATCCCTATATCCTAATTCCTTCCTCCATCCGATCATAAATAAAAGTAACCGCGTGATTCTTTCTGTATCGTGCCCATGAAAAAAAAAAAACCCCCCCATGATATGTTCAAGAAACTCCCAAATGCCCGCTCGAAATGTTTCGCTCAAAGTCGCTCAAATCCTATTCCCATTATATGTTTGTAATATACAATCCGTTAACTCGTAGACAATCTTGTGAAATTGAGGCGTTTAATAAACGCTTATAGCACTTATTAGACCCGGGGATTGTCGAGGAGGTAAATAGAAACCTTCATCGAAGAAAGTTTGTTGTTCGGATTGTGGTATCGATGAGGAAGGAGTAGACTTGCTGTAATAGGATGTTGTGGCGATTTGTTGCTTTTCCGAGAAAGTTGGGATGGTATCGGATGGGGGAGAAGGCGGCATTGATTCATCTTCTGAGGAATCGGAATCGTGGTCAAGTTCTGGTGGAGATGATGCAGCGTAATGTGATTTGGTGAGGTGAAGTTGAAGACTTGAGTAATCTTCCTCGCCATCATCTTCAAAGCTCTCTTCATCTTCCTCAATCTCTCGCGATGAGACGGTGATTGGTGTGTGAATGTTGTTGGAGTAGACGCGGGTCAATGAAGTCATGATAGGTTCTTCCAATTCTTCATCGGAATCGAATTCGCTATCGGAATCTGAGGAGTCGTCATTGTCGAGGTCGGATGTTTCCCAATCTTCTTCTTCTTCTTCTTCGACAACTTCTTCGACAACGTTATCAGCCCACTGAATGTGTTTTGGTTCCTCTTGCTTGGTAGCCTTTCGGACGGATTGGTTGAACCAGCTTTCTTGCTCTTGCTCCGCTTCGGCAAGCTCAAGCATTAAAGAATCGAGAAGGTTAGCATGACCGACAAGAAGACGAAGGTCATGATCTGCTCGGGAAGCTTCGAAAGAAAGCTTTCCTCGAGCAGTGTGAGCAAGGTAATAAGTTTGAGTGATTGACATCTTCTTTCTCTTCAATGGCGATAATGGTGATTGTGATGGTGATTGAGGTGTTTGGGAGGAAAGGGGACTTCTGGAAGTGTTTGACATTTTGTATTAAATTATTATACTGCAATGCTGCAATATATTAATGACTCAAGGCAACGCTTGTTTTAAAAAAATTTATTAGACGAAAAGCCGAGGGTGAATGACTGATACGTTGATAAGTGATAGCCGGGATGTGATGGTAACACTGTGAATATTGAGATTGGATATTGGATATTGAATGTTGATTGTGTGAGGAAGTCTTATTATTATTCAAGAAGAGTGTTTTGTTATTCGAAGATGGAAATAACTTCAAGGTATTCTTATAGACTTGACTTATGTATGATTGATGAGGATGATATGGAGGAATTACAAATGATCATGAGGAGGAACTCGGACAGTCTTTGTATCTTTTTGAGAATCGTCGTAAATGGCCATGAACCCCCATTAAGCACGTTAAGCACAATTGAGGGCTGATTCATAAGACCGCGATCCGGACAAAACGGAGTTGTGGATTTGCTCGATGGGTCATCACCATTAAACCCTTTAACCCCATGCACTAAACGGGGGAGACTAGGCTTATCCGGGTAATATCTTTCGCAGTTTTTCTTTATTAGCTGCTTAGTGTTCGTACTTTTGTCGTATGCGTATAAAGTCCGCAGCGGTATGACTTTTATGACTTTTCAGCCCGATGGATGGAACGGAATTAAAAAATGATTGGTTTGAGTTTGGAGGTTTGATTGTTTGCTTAGCAAGCCAAAACAATACTTACTGTAAGCACAACGAATCCCACGACGAAAGAGGAAATCAAGCATAGGTCGGGTTGGACTGAATGGGTAAACTCGGGTGTCCAGGCTCAATATTACGATTGACTGACGGAGTGATTGACTGACTGACGGAGTGACTGACTGACTAACGGACTGCTTGACTGGTGATGGATTGATGGATTGATGGATTGATAGATAGGTAGATTAACGGATTCATTTACTAATCCAACAACTCCGAATCTTAATTCCATCAGGCAAGACACACTGTGGACACACTTTGGCTAATTGGGCTAATGGAGAGATTCCGCCCGGAACAAGAGAATGATATTCATAGATGAAGTCGGAAAAGATCGTACAGGCCAAGATGCCGAGTAATAGGGAGAGTCGTAGGCATCTATCTAATCTGATCAATGAATCAATGAATCAATGATTCCTCCCGTCGGTACTCGGTCCCATACAATCATACCCCCGCTCTCTTTCCCTCTCTCCGGTTTAATTCCAAGATATCTCCATCTCCACGATTGTCTCTGCTCTCGTTCCTGATGACAAACTCACGTATCATCAACTCCTTAGCTCCATGGACATTCAATTCAGGATGCACTTTCTAATCAAAATTTCCTTTTCTTTCTTCTATGTGTTATGTCGGGTTACAAAGCAACACATGGCATCATTTCTCCACGATTATGGGAAAGTTCTTTCAAGATGCAATTTCCAGAACGCATGCATCAAATTAACAACCCCTCGATGAAAATGAAAATGAAAATGAAAATGAAAATAAAATTTAAAAATAAAAATAAGAAATCATAAAATAAAGCATAATCATCATCTTCCTCATCCTCACTTGTATACTCCATCAATGCATACCACACACCTGACAACGACGACCACCTATATCTACACCTACCAAATCGTCCCAATGTCTTGCGCGTGATATATCAGATACACGACCAAAGAAACCTTAATCATTGCCCATCCATTTCCCTACCCGGTGTCCAGAACACATGTACAGAAGGATGTATAAAACACCAAATGCCCCATAATCCGTTGGTCTGATCCCACCCTCAACCAATTTCTTCCCAAACGTGTCCACGACTCACGAGACTGCCACGAATGCGAATCCGAGCCTCCATCATTTATTAGCTGGCAGCCTGGATCATCTTACTCATCAACATCGTACCTGTTCCTGCTCCAGCCTCTGTGCAAATCATTGTGGGAAAAAGGTAATCATCTACATTTACATTTACATTTATATTTAATTATATTATTTACATTTACATCTATATTTATATTTACATTACATTTACATCTACATCTACACAAAAACAGACACATACACGTATCCCTGGCCATCGTTCATCAGGCCCGCCCACCAATTCACAAATGCCATCCCAGATCTCCGCCTTTCTGCACCACAGCACAGCTGCACCTCACCTCACCACTGCACAAGGCTTGGATATCTTGGATGCTCTGTACCCCTTGGCTCATCTGTACTCGCATTCTCGGATCCTCTCTTGTGGATCAAAGGTCGTTGGACCATGGTTCACCGACAGACACCGAGTTTCGCTGCCCACATCCACACACACACACACACATGCGCAGTCATCGACTTTGAACATCCATTTCGACTCAATCCATATAGGTACAGAAAAACGGTATGCATACAATTTAATGATACGAAACCCCTTAGCGGGGGCCATGGCCATAAATTGATCCATGATGTTTCCTCCCCATCTCGAGAACCAGGAATGATAACTTAATCCGAATTCTCTATTTTCCGAGTCGAAAATGCCCCTCGAAATGTTCTGCATGTTTGACTGTCTTCCTATTATCCGCGACTTACCGAGGAATCTCGGGGTTTGCTTGGGTTTGCTTGGGTTTGCATAATATACATGAGATAGATGAGATGATAGCTCCCCGCAACTTGTAACCGCAGCATATAACCTTATTACTACCAACTACCAACTACCAACTCCCTAGCAAAAGTTCGTTTGATAGATAAATTGATGGATGGATTGATATGCTCTCATGTACAATCTAAGTCACATGGGCGAATAACGCGGTGCATAATGAAATCCCACCTAGCAACAACAACATCCGTACGAAACCTTGATGTTAATCACGACCCTAACAGCAGCTCCACAATGATAAAGTTTTTTTGGTTTTTTTTTTTCTCTCTTTCTTTCTTTCTTTCTTTTCTTCCCGCGCTAGACTAGTGAGCATTTTGGAGTTTACTAGTTTGTCCCCTTGGAAATTTTATCATGATAACTTCAAGTTTGCACTGCACTTTCACCGGTTGGTCCCATAAAAACATCAATTTGATTCTCCAAAGTCAAAAAGAGTCTATTACTCATTCGTACCTAATCCATACGCATGAACATCCATCATTCCAATCTATTCTATTGACCGCCGAACAGTCATAGGAATGTCGAAATCTTCAAGTGACAAATCCATTACGGGATATAGTATAGTATAGTATATCCACCCAATCCGACAATTCGGCCGATTTTTTCTATTAAAAAATATTCTTACTCATTTCTCTCTTCTCTCTGGAATCTTGATCTTGTGCAATGGATGTACGATACACAAAGACTCATATCGGTGACGTGACTCGGGGTTCTCAAACTTCATGTATACCTTAATTGGGCAATCATTAATTATACTTTGATAATTCCCCAACATTTCGAACCCTTGATTTGATTACCAAGCTAAGCCTTTATCAACACGCCGGTACCCATCATCCCAACTATATCACTCTCATCATGAGTCTTCTCTCATAAATGCCAAACGGGCGCATTTGAATTCCTGTTCCCGACGCGGCCTTTACCAAAGCTCCGTCAACCTTAATTCCATCCCTCGTACCGGTATTGTGATTGGCGTTCCTGGGTCGATCATTATTACGTCAGAAAGAATGAGTTTACATGACCGCATTGATCAGCGGAGATTTTGCGGTGACTCGACGGAGATAATTGAGATGGGGTGATTGGTTGGAACACGAGGGGTTCATGAGTGATGAATAATGAATGGTGAATCTGGTATGGGATTGGTAATCGCTTGTTTCATAGTGACCGCCGTCGTTCTTTGTTATTGATTGATGAATTTGAAATCATGAATGATGGGTTCTCTAGATACTCTACTGGATGGATCCTTTCCGCGTTCAAAAGTCCATGTGTATAGGGTAGAAGCTATGATTCATAGTTGTCTTATATGAACACGTCTTTGAGAGGTATCTCATTGTTTAACCTTACCCCCAACAACCTATTCCAGTAGGTACCTCGCTACCGAATCCATCAGCAAGTACCCCTCCTCTCTATCCCTTGAATCCTCGTGCTCTGTCTCATGCGATGGATCCATCATACCCGTTCCATCCATCCCATCTCCATTCATCCATCTACCTCCGTTCCATCCCAACCCAGCCCTCAAGCAAAGCCACAGCGCACCCAATTACCTCATTGAGTCAACCCAACTCACTCAGCCTTGCTATCTTACAATCTCGCTAGCGAACACCTGGTACTTTCACTCTCCGTCTCCGTTTCATCTCTCTCACACAAGCCTCCTCAGCCTTATCATTTCATCATACTGTACGTCAGACCTGCAAATTGTCCCAGTGAAGTTATGTACCTGAACTAATCCTTTCTGGGATGGTATAAATATACCTATTTCTTCGTGTCACATCCAATTACAGTTCGCTTCTCGCTCTCGCAGTAGAGAGAGCTAGCTATACGAGTACTCGATATTCACAATTTCACAAATGAGAGAAAAATATGATGATTTGTATAAGTTAGAAGAAGTAAGGTTAATAATAGTAATAATAATAACGTTGACTGCCCACTACTACCTAGATACTACCGATATCCATATTTCACTACCCATCTCTATAGATTTGATTCTTGGATCACGATATGATATGTCGGTTCGTATAATCATATCCGTGATTCTATTTCTATAGGTATCGTATCCCAAGAATGTAGAAATAAAATGAGGTGAACGGGATGTAATCTTACGATATGTGTTCGGATGAACTATAATGAGTGACATGTTTTAAGGTTGCGACTCAGGGTGTATCCTTCCTATACGTGTTTTGACACATTGATCGGCTTGCGAATATTTCTTCACGTTTTTGACGTTTCTTGTCACTCTGGTCTTTTCTTGGCAATTCTTTGGGGGGGGGGCCGTGGACGGCTGTGCTCCGTGTGAGTACGAGAGATCGTCTGGGTATATGAATTTTGGTTCGGTCCGAAGAGGGTTGGGGCACCAGTGGGGATTGGAATGGGAATTGGATTTTGATGGTTTGAGTAGGGTTGGGAATGTATGGGGAGTGTTTTGTGTATGAGCTTGTGTGATTGAATTGCTGGATGTTTGATTGGGTGGTGAAGTTTGTTTCGGGAAGATACTGCTTCTTGTTGTTGGTTTTCGGGATATGGATATGGAGTTGGAAATGCAAGTCACATGTTTGATCTAGGGGGAGGTGTTCGACGGTATAGGTATATCGAATGCCACGGTATATTTACTCGCCGAACAATCTATATGTTATATACTAGAGGAGTTCAAATACTACTGTAGAATAAGTCCTCTATTCTCATTTCCTACCCAAACAGAAATATCTACTGCTCAGTTCTTACTCCTTTATAGCGCAACATGACCATATACATACATATACCTACCTAATAAACATAACCACACAATCCATCATCCATCGGCACATACCCACACAAGCACAAAACAACTCGGCACTTCATCAACCCAAGTTCCCCATCCCGGTAATCTCTCCCCTTCGTATTATCGAATATCGATCCACTGACATAGCCTTGGGATTTACATCCTCACGATCTGGTCCGGTCACACGGTACGGTGTGATTTCTCTTCCCAAGACTTTCGCTGTGGGGGGGTAGCACAGCCTCCTCCGAACGAGTCTCTCATTTCTCATATCAAAGTCATTCAGAGGTTTTCTCGTCTTTTTAGAAACTCAGATCATAATCTCCTATGAATGTTTATATAGGGGTTTGTAGTAAACTATAAGTATATCTTTAAGTTTTCACTATTATAAATCAATTACTAAAAGTATGTATTAGGAAAGATATAAAATATCTTAATTATATAATGTTAAGATTTGAATTTATTTGTTTTATTCTTTACTTATTTAGTAATAAATATTAATTAAAGGTTTATATTGATTTGAGAAGAATACGAAATACGTAGTACTCACGATATTTATAGGTTCTAAATGTCTATATTATATTCTGTCTAAAGAGCTAGCTATATATAGAAAGTTATAGGCCTTATATAGACGCTACGAAAAGAGCTAGTCTCTTTCGCTTTCGCTTAAGACTTGTAATATAGTAGCTAATGAATTAAAGCTATTAACTTAGATTCTAATAATTCATGTTCATATAGTGTTGAGCAGACTTGATAAGATATGTATACACAATATGTATAGGTAAAAGGGTTGTTTATTTCTATCTATCCTCTTTATATAAAAAGGGAATTACTATATTTATATATATATACTATCTTTATTTATGTACTTCATATATATGTAGGATAAAGTATAATATGTAATGTCACGTTGTTAGTCATGTGTTTCGATAATTTATATATTAATAATTATAATAAGATATTATTGTTTATATAATTGAATAATATAATAAATTAATTTGAATATAAACTTTTCTTTTTTATAATAAAAAGATAGTAGTAGTAATAAATTCTTAATCGATTTAGTCTATATAGTTATATTAAGACTAACTATACAATATGTTTATATATAGTTCTAATTAAATAAAGTAAATAAAAAAAGGAAATAAAAACCTACTCCTTTTCAAACTTCTTTATTAAGATCTATAAGCAGCCTTCTAAGTAATCCTTTTAAGTCCTTCAAGTTATTTATATTATAGATCTGTTATATTCAAAAACCTTCCTTTTATTAGATTTTTTTGATATATTTATAAAAATCTTATATTTTTTATTTTGTTATAATAGTGTTACGACGACATCCAACATACCGAGTCACCTGATCAGAAAGTCACGGGATTAGAGATTCCCACTGGATCCCACTGCTCCCACCTGGTGGGACACGATGGGATCAATGGGACAACAAAGAACGAAGGTCTATATAAAAGAATGGGTTTCATTACAATGTAGAGCTTCGTGCTCAAGAACAATCATTAGTTTCATTACTATAGTTACGAGAATTGCAACCAGTTACAACCTTATTGAATTCCTATTTGAAGTCTAGTCTAAACCATTTTGAGAGATCTCTAGTCATTTCCACGTGACCCTAGAGGCAGCTTCCGTAATAGTAATATAACAACAGTGTGAATTATAGTACTATATTAATTTCATTATTTCTATGGTGATATTAATATTAATTAGTGATATTATAGATTAGGAGTCTGGCATTTTAATTTTAACCGCAACGTGTAGTTTGAATTAAGATGTTACGCCGGTCCATCCTCGGTACCGCGTCACATGACTCTTAGCACGTGATGGACCCTGCATGACAGGCATAACGGAATGTAGGTCCATACAGACCAAAGGTCCAGGACCTCTCTAGGTCCTGAACGCTCCAGTACAGTACGAAGGTCTATATAAGGGAATGGGATTTCATTACAATGTAGAGCTTCGTGCTCAAGAACAATCATTAGTTTCATTACTATAGTTACGAGAATTGCAACCAGTTACCAACCTTATTGAATTCCTACTTGAAGTTTAGTCTAAACCACCTCGAGAGAACTCTAGACACTTCCACGTGACCCTAGAG